TAAAGTATGGGGACTTTGCGGTAATGCTACTGGAGAGAGGTCAAGACAGTGCCAAACCTGCCTTAAAGGGGGAGGACGCCGTGGTTAATATGCTAAAGCAGTTTTATTCATTCCTAATTGTCTGGTTACGCTGCTGGTTAAGTCATAAAATATACGAGAGGAGCGGAATTATGGGTTAATTTTGAGGTCATGGTTTTAAATTGCTTTTCTGTGTTTAATCAAGTTGTGACGGGAAAGTTACAGCAGCGTGAAGACGTTTTCGTTCGTATTTTTAAAAGGCGTTTAATTTGAATTTTGGAGAATGTGTATGTTTTTGAGTAAATATGGTTCAACAAATCAAAAAGGAAACACATTTTTTGTAATTAAGCAGTTAAATTTTTCTAATTATGCAAGGTTAAGTAACTTTTCTGGTGGAGGGTCTGGCATCTGCTTGTTGTGGAGATGTTGTTGCTTCACCTGAAATGTTCCAGCTTATACGTATTGAATTACAGGTGCTTTTATTGGTGAAAAATAACTTGGAATAACATGCATTCTTGCTGTGAGCAGTGTTGAGTCTCCACAGATCTGATCCGTAACATAATATAGATTTGTTTAATGCCATACTGTGAAACATTGTACACAAAGCACAAAGCATTGTTAGACCTTTAAAGGGCCTGATTTGAATTGATTCTGGTCAAAATATTTTCTCTTTTCATCATGTAAGTAAAAACTGTTAGATAAGAAAATAGAGACCTATCTTTATTTTACATAGCATTTTCTCGGATAATTACTACCGTATTTTTTGGACGATAAGTCACACAAGAGTCGTACCAGCCAAAAAAAAAAACGTAATGAAGAAGAAAAATATATATATACGTCTGACCGAACTATAAGTCGCACTTTTGGGGGGAAATTTATTTTATAAAATCAGAGACTAGGAACCGACATTTCATCTTGAGAGCAAGTTATTGTAATAACAATAGAACAGAGAACAACAGACTGTTAACGTCACATATGAACAGTTCTTCAGATAAACTATAACATAAACAACAGAACAGAACAAGTTTAACAAACTCTCCATCTCACTCCAGATCACTAAATCCATTCAATTCTTCATCCTCAGTGTCACTTCTGAGCAACTCCACAACCTCTGGAGGTAAACAGAGCGTCGCATCCTCTTCTTCTGTGTCGTTGTCATCAGACTCAGCATCAGTTCCGGTTAGAATTATTCTGGCCTTTCCGAATCCCGACAGGATGGTTTTGGTTGTTAGTGAAGTCCAGGCTTTGTCGATCCATCCGATGACTTCCAGAAAAGTTGCATGGTGCATCCTCCCGGTCACCGTGAAGCTGTGTTCTCCATCCTTGCTTTCCGCCAGTCCCCCACAAGTTTCTCGCTCACTTCAAACTTTCTTTCTGCTGCTCGATTACTGTTTTCGGCTGCATATTTCCCTACTTACAGCAGGACAGAGGCTCTTTCTGCAGGAGACATGCGCAGTAGAGCAAAGTGACAGTGGTACAGGAGTAATAGGACAAGCAGATACTGACATACACACATGACTAAGCGCCCTCTCACAGCTGTCAGTGTGAAAATTTTAATATATGAGTCGCACTGGAGTGTAAGTCACAGGAACCACCCAAACCATGAAAAAAAGTGCAACTTATAGTCCAAAAAATACGGTAATACAAAAGCTAAGGACAGGGTCACCTTTTTACATCCCCTCTGACACATTGTTAGCAGTGATGAACGAGTCGGCTCTTTTGAACGGCTCCTTCACGTGAACTGTTGAAACTGGATCTCCTAAAAAAAGATAAAAATATATATCTCCATTTTTATACTAATTAATGGTAACCCAACACTAAAATCATCAGAAAAACACAGTAGAAAACATGAGAGAGAGGCTTTGTGCACAAAAAACACATCCGACATCAAAATAACAGTTCGTTTTTTAAATTATTAATATTGTAGTGCAACATTTTATTTAGATCTTGCATAATTTCAAAGAGTAAACACTCCCACTCCCTCACATTTTAAACAAATCTCAGCCTCGGTCCTTTCTTTCTGTGATCATCTTGTAGATAAAACGAGTTCTAACATTGGCTTCTGTCGTGTCAATAAATGTAAAACGAGACAGTCTTTTGAAAAGCTCTTTGAAATGAACGGATCCTAAAGACTCGGATCTCACAAAAGAGCAAAAAGTCCCAACGCTAATTGTTACGAAGACAGACAGACAGAGATTGGACAAGTTTAAGATTATAAACTACTGTTGGGCAAGTTACTTTAAAACTGTAATGTGTTGTTTTTTACTAGTTACTGTCATTTCAAAGTATTTTGTTACATTACTATATTACTGTATTTAAAATGTAAGACATTACATTACTATTGCAGCACTTTTAATTTACTCTCACCAAAATATCTGTGAAGATGCTTGAACTTTTGCGCCGTATATGGACTGAACCAGGACTAAACCAGAACTGAACCAGGACTGAACCAGGACTAAACCAGAACTGAACCAGGAGGATTGAACCAGGACTAAAACAGGGCTAAATCAGGTCTAAACCAGAACTAATCCAGAGCTGAACCAGGACTGAACCAGGACTAAACCAGGACTAAACTAGGACTAAACCAGAGCTGAACCAGGACTGAACCAGGTCTAAACCAGGACTAAACCAGAACTGAACCAGGACTAAACCAGAACTGAACCAGGACTAAACAAAGTCTAAACCAGATCTAAACTAGGTCTAAACTAGGACTAAACCAGGTCTAAACTAGGACTAATCCAGAGCTGAACCAGGACTCAACCAGGACTAAACCAGAACTGAACCAGGACTAAACCAGAACTGAACCAGGAGGATTGAACCAGGACTAAAACAGGGCTAAATCAGGTCTAAACCAGAACTAAACTAAACCAGGACTAATCCAGAGCTGAACCAGGACTGAACCAGAACCAGGACTAAACTAGGACTAAACCGGAGCTGAACCAGGACTGAACCAGGTCTAAACCAGGACTAAACCAGAACTGAACCAGGACTAAACCAGAACTGAACCAGGACTAAACAAAGTCTAAACCAGATCTAAACTAGGTCTAAACTAGGACTAAACCAGGACTAAACCAGGTCTAAACTAGGACTAATCCAGAGCTGAACCAGGACTAAACCAGAACTGAACCAGGACCAAACCAGGACTAATCTTGGACTAGAACATGGAATCTAGGACCGCCCCTGAGCTCGATCGGGCGTCAGTTGCATTTAGCTCCGTGGGGCGTGGAGTTCTGCGCCGGTCCTTTCGCTCGAGATCACGGTCTACGCGGGCGCACCTCCGGCGTTTCACCTCTGCTGATATCACGGTGATTTTAGCGAATTTGTATGAAGAAAAACGTAAAACCCACCACGTTCAATCCAGGTTAAAAAAAGCATTGTGACACACGATACTGACATTTGTACAGAGTCAAATATTACAGTTTTTTTCCTTGTAAAGCTGAACATTACTGTGTTACAGCAAAAAGCAACACATTACAGTAATTTGTTACTTTTATAACATGTTACTTCCAACACTGGTTATGAACTGTATGTCACTCTCCCAGACAGTTGTTGGGCTAAAAGTTAAAACTGAAAAATGTTCCTGCCTCATGGTTTGGAATCAGGTACAGTGCCTTTAAACTAAATTTCAAAAACGTTATGCTCCCTTGCTTTCATACTTGAACCTCGAATCGCTCGATCTGAGAGCTGTCAGCTGATGATGGACGAGCAGCAACTTCAACGTTCCACAAATACATCTTTATGGATTCAGAACAGAAATGGACGAGTCGATAACAAGACTGAAAAATGTTTCAAGTGATCACCGACTTATGATGGAGTTTTATTCAATCACAAATCTCAAAAGAGTCTATTTTAAAAACTGAAAACATCTAAAGAACGTCGTACCTGTGTAACTGTGAGTTAGAGGCACAGACAGCAACATGGTCTAAACCAGGTCTAAACCAGGTCTAAACCAGGACTGAGTGTCGGGACAGGTTCAGAGGTGCACCCACGTAAACTGTTGAGTGATCAGGACTGAGACCGAGTCCAGATCAAGACTGAGACCAGGACTGAGACAGGTTTAGACCTGGTTTAAACCTGGTTTAGACCTGCTTTAGACCTTGTTTATCCTGATTTAGTCCTGTTGTAGTCCTGGTTCAGTCCTGGTTCAGTCCTGGTTCAGTCCTGGTTTAGACCTAGTTTAGTCTTGGTTTAGACCTAGTTTAGACCTGGTTTAGTCCTGGTTCAGTCCTGGTTCAGTCGTTGTTTAGACCTGGTTTAGTCTTGGTTTAGTCCTGGTTTAGACCTGGTTTAGACCTGGTTTAGACCTTGTTTAGACCTTGTTTAGTCCTGATTTAGTCCTGTTGTAGTCATGGTTCAGTCCTGGTTCAGTCTTGGTTCAGTCCTGGTTTAGACCTGGTTCAGTCCTGGTTTAGAACTGGTTTAGTCCTGGTTTAGTCCTGGTTCAGTCCTGGTTTAGACCTGGTTTAGTCCTGGTTTAGTCCTAGTCCTGGTTCCTGGTTCAGTCCTGGTTCAGTCGTGGTTTAGACCTGGTTTAGTCCTGGTTTAGTCTTGGTTTAGACCTGGTTCAGACATGGTTTAGTCCTGGTTCAGTCCTGGTTCAATCCTATTTTAGACCTGGTTTAGTCTTGGTTTAGACCTTGTTTAGACCTGGTTTAGTCCTGTTTTAGTCCTGGTCCAGTCCTGATTTAGTCAATATGTGGTGCAAAAATCCGGGATTGCAGTTTAAGTCACAGAAAAGGGAAATGTCCGTTAGCTGTTTTTTTTTTTTTTTCCATTATTCATTTAAACACAAAATTGAAAACTGAAAAAACATTATCCATTTTTTCATTTTGGTTCTGGAGACAAATAATGAGGAAAATAGTTGCTTTTTGGTTTTCTTATTTTTGGTTTTATTTTGACAAACGAATGAACGAATGACACACTGATTCTCCAGGTGTGTTTTTTATTCCATGAAACTAAATACAGATGTGTCTCTCTTTCAGGATCACCACCACAGTGGCCTGTAACATGGACCTCACCAAGTACCCCATGGACAAGCAGACGTGCACGCTGCAACTGGAGAGCTGTGAGTACGAGCGAACACTTCACATGGAGCTAATCTCAACTGTGAAGCTTTAAAGGCTCTTTCACACCAAGGAGATTATCGGCAGTTCCAATGCTGACCCAGTGGCCCAATGCTCCATTCACAAAACTCTCTTTTCCCTCTCAGCAACAAACAACTCTCAGCTTCATTTTAGCTTTGTGTAAATCCAAACATAAGTGCCTCTGTCTTTGGACAAAAGTCATAATAAATCAGTCTGTTTTGTCCATGTATGTGATGCCAAGAGCTCATGTTGCTTTCAGAACTATAGTTTATTGTACGGGTGTAGTGGGCGTGGTCCGTGGTATCGGGAGAAGTCCACCCACTTCACCCAAATATAAAATAGCTACAACTTAAATCTCAAACTGGAGATATTGGCAATGGTGAAAACAACCTGCATAGGCTCATGATATCTGCAGTACTGTCCTATAGTGACCTGCCACATGAGGGACCAGGACTGAACCAGGACTGAACCAGGACTAAAACAGGACTAAAACATGACTAAACCAGGAATAAACCAGGTCTAAACCAGGACAGAGTGTCAGGACATGCCCGGAGGCGCCTACATAAAGTGTCGGGTGATCGCAGGAGAAAGGGCGGGTGCAGAGCTCCGCACCCCACAGGGTCAAGCGCAGCTGTCGCCTGATCTCGCTTTGCAGACACCCTGCTCCATGGGCTCTGAGTTCTCTCCCTTTCTCAAGTCCAAGATTAGTCCTGGTTTAGTCCTGTTTTAGTTCTGTTTTAGTTCTGGTTTAGTCCTGGTTTAGTTCTGTTTTAGTCCTGGTTTAGTCCTGTTTTAGTTCTGTTTTAGTTCTGTCCTGGTTTAGTCCTGTTTAGTTTTTAGTCCTGGTTTAGTCCTGTTTAGTCCTGTTTTAGTCCTGGTTTAGTCCTCTTTTAGTTCTGTTTTAGTCCTGGTTTAGTCCTGTTTTAGTCCTGGTTTAGTCCTGTTTTAGGCCTGGTTTAGTCCTGGTTTAGTCCTGGGTTTAGTCCTGGTTTAGTCCTGGTATAGTCATGCTTTAGTCCTGGCTTAGTTCTGGTTTAGTCCTGGTTTAGTTCTGGTTTAATCTTGGTTTAGTCCTGTTTTTGTTCTGTTTTATTCCTGTTTTAGTCCTGGTTTAGTTCTGTTTTAGTCCTGTTTTAGTCCTGGTTTAGTCCTCTTTTAGTTCTGTTTTAGTCCTGGTTTAGTCCTGGTTTAGTCCTGTTTTAGGCCTGGTTTAGTCCTGGTTTAGTCCGGGTTTAGTCCTGGTTTAGTCCTGGTATAGTCATGCTTTAGTCCTGGCTTAGTTCTGTTTTAGTCCTGGTTTAGTTCTGGTTTAGTCTTGGTTTAGTCCTGGTTTAGTTCTGGGCACATGTTGCAGTCTGTGATTGATGTTCTGTAGGTGATTATGATTAGCGTTAATGTTAGTAACATGATCTGCATCATTTTGACAAAAAAAAAAAAAAAAACATCAAATATTACTGATTTTTACTGGACTACCACCTTTATGTTTGTTTGGGTGGGAGTTACATAAATCATACATCACAAAGTGCATACCCCCACTTAAAAAATCCCCACTACACCACAGATTTATTGAGAATTATGTTAGTCATAAGCGCCACCTGCTGTTGTAGAAACACACTGCATTATTGATATATTTTGGTTGCTGCGGTGAGAGAAGCTTTTAGATGTGGAAAGCGCCGGGACACGTGAGGACATGTGGACAGATGAGCTCTGGTCCAGGCTCAGCGACAGGGCGGGGAGGTCGGATCGGTGAAGAAAAGTCCTGAAGATGTAGCGATGCATGTCTGGTCCTCTGGGTTTGGTTTCAAATGTGTGTGATCAAACCACAGGATCAAACATCTGAGAGTGGAGAGAGGTAGGGGTACGTTTTCAGTCTTATGTAACAGCAGGGAGACAAAAAAAAAAGGGACAAATCAGGGTCATTAAAGGTTGTATGGAGCATTTTTTTTTTTTTCAAGTTGTCAATGATAGCATTATAGAGGTGCAGTAGCCTTGTAATTATGATGACCAAAAAAAAGAGAATAAAAATTCATCAACTCTGGACGTGGTGGGGCTAAACATTTGCCAATAGATAACGACACTGCCTCGTTATCTGTTAGCTGACAGGCTGTCAATCAATCTCCCTACGTTTCTAGCGTAACTGACTTGCCTGCGCGCCGCGGGTACGTGGTTTGCATACGCCTGTCACGCAGTCCACAGACGCAAGACGCTGTTTACTCCACCAACGCAACAGTTCTTAGCGGCTTTTTTTGACCTATATCTTCCTCGCAGTTCGCACAAAGTTTGTTGCAATGGCGACAAGAATCCAGGAGCAGTTCGCCGCAAAAGAAAGTCAGTTTTTGAGATTGCTGAAAGAAGAAGACAAGGGGAAAAGCAGCGAAGCCAAACTAAGGTGATTCTTGAAGATTCATTCCAGCGATGGCGCAACTGAAGCAGACGCAGGGTCTAAAGACTGACGCACTGGTCCACAAATTACTCCTGGACAGGTCACTTCTGCTTATTATGAAAACGTACTTTATTTCCAAGAGCTACACAAACGTTTTTCAGAACACGAAAGCGATATCCTATGTCTGAAAACGTCATTTTCAAGGCAAAGAAAGAGTCCGCTTGCTGCTGCGTGTTGTAGCTAGTTCATTCGCACTGAATCTCCGCGCAACCTTCTCTGCTCCCCTTTCCTGCTCCTGTCCCCGCTGCCCGATCCACTCTTCCCCCTGCTCCTCACTTCTCCGGGCACGGAATCTCCGCGCACCGCTCCTCTCTCCTCTCCCTGCTCCGCTCTTCTCCCTGCTCCTCACTTCTCGTCCGCGAACGAAATGTCCGCACACCCCCTCCCCCCGCTCCTCACTTCTCCGTCTTGCCTAACCAACACTGTAGTTAGTTGTTTACAAGTCATGTGCAGCGCACCGGCTGTAAACAAACCTGTTTCTGGCGTAAAGAGGAGGCGGGAGGAGGCGTTTCTACGTAGGAGCTGTAGGGGAGGGGGGGTGGTTTCACGCATGCGCAACATTTGAAAAAGGACAAACAGTCGCTGGATTTCTCGTTCCTTGGAAAATCCTCTATACAACCTTAAAGTCTGCAGTGTGGAGTTCTGCTTTATAAAGGAAGTTCATGGGGAAAAACACAACAGCAGCTCAGTTGGTAGAGTGTTTGTCCACTGATACGAAGTGTGGCAGTTCGAATCCCGCTCTTTGGCATAAACATCTTTGGTAGAGCAGTCAGACCCACTGTTGTTGTGTCTCTGGGCAAGACATTTAACCCACCTCACTCCCAGTCTCTGTGTACATTGGTTGTATAAGTGTGTGTGTGAACAGGTGAGAAGTTCCTTGATTTAAAGCGCTTTGAGTGACTTGAAGGTGGAAAAGCTCTGTGTTCATTTATGATTTACATGACTTTTTTTGTTTTCTTCAATCTGGTTTAGTCTAGTCTCCATTATTTTGTTTATATCTGGTCCTCTTTAGTCTGGTTTCGCCTGGTATCTTTAGTCTGGTTATTTTGGTTTCATCTGGTTACCTTTAGTCTGCCTTAATCTGGTCCTCTTGAGTCTGGTTTAGTCTGGTCCTCATTAGTCTGGTTTAGTCTGTTCTTCTTTATTTTGGTTTCATCTGGTCCTCTTTAGTCTCTTTTAGTCTGGTCCTCTTTAGTCTGGTTTAGTCTGGTCCTCTCTAGTCTGGTTTAGTGTGGTCATCTTTATTTGGTTTAGTGTGGTCATCTTTATTTTGGTTTCATCTGGTCCTCTTTAGTCTCTTTTAGTCTGGTCCTCTCTAGTCTGGTTTAGTGTGGTCATCTTTATTTTGGTTTCATCTGGTCCTCTTTAGTCTCTTTTAGTCTGGTCCTCTTTAGTCTGGTTTAGTCTGGTCCTCTTTAGTCTGGTTTAGTCTGGTCCTCTCTAGTCTGGTTTAGTGTGGTCATCTTTATTTTGGTTTCATCTGGGTATCTTTAGTCTGGTTTAATCCTGTCTTCATTATTTTGCTTTTGTGTGGGTATCTTTAGTCTGGGTTAGTCTGGCCCTCTTTAGTCTGGTTTAGTCTGGTCTTAATTATTTTGCTTTCGTCTTGTTATCTTTAGTCCGGTCTAATCTGGTCCTCTTTAGTCTGGTTTAGTATGGTCTTTATTATTTTGGTTTTGTCTGGTATCTTTAGTCTGGTTTAGTCTGGTCCTCTTTAGTCTGGTTTAGCGTGGTCTTCGTTATTGTGCTTTTGTCTGGTTATCTTTAGTCTAGTTTAGTTTGGTCCTTTTTAGCCTGGTTTAGTCTGGCCTTCATTATTTTGCTTTCGTCTGGTTACTTTTAGTCTGGTTTAGTCTGGTCCTCTTTAGTCTGGTTTAGTCTGGTCTTTGTTATTTTGCTTTTGTCTGGTTATCTTTAGTCTGCTCTTATCTGGTCCTCTTTAGTCTGGTTTAGTTTGGTCTTCTTTAGTCTAGTCTTCATTATTTTGGTTTCATCTGGTATTGTTAGACTGGTTTAGTTTGGTTCTCTTTCATCTGGTTTAGTCTGGTCTTCTTTATTTTGATTTCATATGGTTATCTTTAGTCTGGTGTAATCTGGTCCTCTTTAGTCCGGTTTAGTCTAGTCTTCCTTATTGTGGTTTCATCTGGCATCTTTAGTCTGGTTTAGTCTGGTCTTTGTTATTTTGCTTTTGTCTGGTTGTCTTTAGTCTGCTTAAGTTTGGTCTTCTTTATTTTGGTTTCATCTGATATCTTTAGTCTGGGTTAGTCTGGTCCTCTTTAGTCTAGTTTAGTCTGGTCTTGATTATTTAGTTTTTGTCTGGTTATCTTTAGTCTGGACTAATCTGGTCCTCCTTAGCCTGGTTTAGTCTGGCCTTCATTATTTTGCTTTCGTCTGGTTACGTTTAGTCTGGTTTAGTCTGGTCCTCTTTAGTCTGGTTTAGTCTGGTCTTGATTATTTTGTTTTTGTCTGGTTATCTTTAGTCTGGACTAATCTGGTCCTCCTTAGCCTGGTTTAGTCTGGCCTTCATTATTTTGCTTT